AGCTTTAAAATAAACTTCACATCACGTAAGAATTTTACGTAATCATTTTTTTCGTCCAAATAATAAGTGACTTCTTCGCGAAGTTCGACAAGTCTTGTAAGAACTTTCCCCCTCGATAGCCAACGTACCTCAGTGTGAAGGAGAAGTGATTTGTGAATACTGCCCATTTCTTCGCAAAGCTTCTCAAATAAACGGGACTGTAACGGCCTTGCCTTAATAAAATTTACTATTTTTACAGACGTGTTTAATACACTTCTAAAATCATCTGACAAAGATTTTGATACTAATGCCTCCCTATGGATATTGCAGTGCATCCATGGCACATTAGGGTTAATTTCACGAATTTTAGTAATAACACTACTGTTCTTACCACACAATGCTCGGGCGCCGTCCGTACATAACCCGACACATTTTGTCCATTCAATTCCTTTCGCTGTTATATAGGTATTAAGAGTATTAAAAATTTCATCACTTGTACCTCGAATAATCGGTTCACAGCACAAAAAATCCTCGTGAGATTCATTCATCCATATGTAACGTACGAAAACAATCATCTGAGATAAGCCTTGGATATCTGTGGACTCGTCTAGCTGTAATGAAAACCATCTACTCAATTTAACTCTTTCAATCAGTTTATTTTCTACCCATTCAGAAATGTCATCGATTCTACGCGACACTGTATTATTTGAAAGCGATAACTTTTCAACTTCTTTTAAACATTTTTGATCAAACAAGATTCCGACTGCGTCTTTGATTGCTGGTAAAATTAAAGACTCACCAATTGTGTGAGGCTTACCAGTTTGAGCAATTCGTAAACATATTTTATATGAAGCGTACGTAGCTTTTTGGTTAGTTGCAGTAAAATTAAAAATATTATTTTTGGATGTTTTTAGAGATTCTAGTTTTTTTTTATAAAAATCGAGTGGTTTACCTTTCATTTCTGGATGGTTCGTATCGATATGTCGATGTAATTTGTTTGGTCGCATACTCTCATTTGCAAGTATACATCCACAAATAACACATTGTGGTCGTGGATTTTCTTCGTCTCCGTTCCACGTAAATCCAATTTGCAAATATTCCGGACAATATTTTCTGCAAGTTTTTTTTTGTTTTAATTCCGAAGAACTTGTTGAAGGCTCATCGTAATTTAATTTTCTTTTTTTGACTGTTGACACAGATATTGTCTCCATTTTTTCTTGACTTTGACCCATTGACTTTTTGTTTAACCAATTGTCCATAGTACAAAAAATGAATTTATTTAAAACAAAAAGTACTATTTAATATTTTAATATAAAACTGCGTACGTGTATCGTATTCGATGTGCCGCGTGTTACTGAAAATAATCAAAAGTTTTGAACGTCAAGCGACATTCACGTATCTACTAATTTGTTTCAGATAGGTAAATCGTTATATTTACAATAACTATTCTTTATTAATCTGATTGTGTCGATTTGACACGGCCGCTGGTAAACTCGTAATTGTCACACTCACAGATAAGGATTGACGATAAAACTGAATTTGAACTTTGAACATCAACGAAAAGTAATAGATGATTATATTTTTGTATTATTTAAAAAAATAGCGTGACCCACCAAAAGTATAATCGCGACCCACTTTTGGGTCGCGACCCACAGTTTGGGAACCTCTGGTCTTAACAAGAGTGGTTACCTATTTATGGCGTATTAGTAAAAGGCATTTACTAATTAATATGCATAGGATTTAAAACTACGATGACCCATCATATTTTCTAGAAAACCATTACCTATCAATTGTACTACTAAAAATACCAATATTTGTATTTTGTATCGCCCACTCATGGTCAGTATCTACACCCCGTAATCTATAGTCATAAAATCATTAATACATAATATTATTGGTCGTCGACCTATATATAGGTATACAATAAATAACCGTAGTTTTACTAAGTATCAATAAATACCAATAATCGTAATCTATATGACTATATATATAAATGTGAAAATGAAAACCTTTGAGACACATGTTTTCAGAAACTACTGAACCGATCGTTATGAATTTTTTTTTAAATTGAAGAACTCATTTCGGAGAAGGTTTATGGAATTTGATCGATTCTCTAACTTAATAAACAAATGAGTTATCAATTATTATAAATATTGGCCTGTTACGTTGCAATTACGTATATACGGAGGCCCGCGGGATTCCTGCTACCTGAAACCTATCCTTTTTGTCCAAAGGCCAACGATAATAATTGTTTTAAGAAGTTTATCGATAAAAATGGGTATTGGCCAGTTGCCCCCTACAGCTGTTATCGGGATTTTAAAAATATACCAGTTGCCCTTACATGTTAATATATACTACCTATATACACAATTACAATATATAGCCCGTAAAATAGGGGAGGTAAATATACAAATAATAAATAAAATTATTTAAAATAGTAGAAAATGATAGAAAAAATTCATAATAAAAAATATAATTATAATGAAAAGCGGCATATTCAATGTGATAATTTGTCAAATAAAAAAAATTAGATATAATATTATGTACTATGTTTTGTTATGATAATTATTTGTATATTTACCTCACTTATTTTACGGCCTATATATTGTAATCGTATATATATAAATTTACATATGAGGGTAACTGGTACATTTTGCTCTAGGTAGTTCGGGGGGAATTGGTATAAAAAAAGGTACTTTTGGGGGCAACTGGTAGGTACCCATAAAAATAATCTCATGCAACGCGCGTCCATACTCCAATTATGTTTTAAACGATAAAATGCACACCGATAACATAGTACACCGTTCACAATCACAAAACTAGGCATAATTAGCCGGTTTGTCCATAAAAATATATAAAATAACTCCCCAAAATATATTAAAATATAAATATTAAATACTCCCAAAAATGCTGGATAATCAACTATGACTTCAATACTATTTTAGGTACACTGTATACACATTTTTTTCAACTACAAAGCTGTACTAATATAGGCTTCTTATATTTTATCTCCCTCCTCAATGTGTCCACAATCTACCCCAGGTAGATTGCCTACCTGATAATATACAGTTCGCATTACCATATAAGAAACTCACGCGGGATGGCTAAAAATTAAAATTTAATATGATTTTGCTTCCATACCTATGCAGAGTGAATTACACCCAAAAGGAGTTAATTAATCACAATTTTTTTCCCGGGCAACGTAGGGTTATTCATCTATATAATATATAGATGAATATTTGTCTGTAGATTAGACCTCTGGGAAGAGATAAGCTAATTTAAAAAGGGTTAAAGTAGTTTTTTTTAATCATTGGATTTTAGTACGGTACTACGGTTAGTTTAGAATTTTGTATTAATTGATTATATTCATCCACCGACAGATTAATTAACGACAAACTTGGTATAACTTTGATACTTTAGAGTTAAATCATACACTATTACGTACAAACAGCACGGGGTCCTCGATCTATCGCAGGTAGATTGCCAGCCTGATAATATACTGCTGCGAATCAGAATTTTTATTTCGGTCAACGGAAAAGTTAAGATAAATTCTGAACACCATACACCGAGTATTAAATAACGAATTGAACAAAGTTTTAGTCATATAGAGTTGGTACATTTAACGGGCAACGAAGTGCACGGGATCAGCTAGTATGAGTATAAATGTATAACATACTATAATGATACTCATCATAATTATTCTCATAGAAACTAACCATTAAATCACGTATAGCAAAACATGTTAAGACACTATAATTTTTGATTTAGTTTTTTCAATGAAAATTACGTTACTAACAAGTAACAATGAATTTATCTTTTACTATAGCAATCAGGATTCAACAACTTGTATTCGTATCATTCCTATAATCGTATTATGTTATTATGTTAAGTACATTTAAAAGGAAATATTAATTTATAATCTTATATGATATTTAATGAATTATTGAAAATTATTTAATAATTCTAACAGGCATGAATACATAATATGATATTATAATGTATTTATAATTTTTTTTCTTCAAGTCCTTCACAACAAAAATATATTAAATAATGATTATTGATTTATAAAATGTATTGAATGCAGTTATTTTATTTCCTTCTAGTAATGTAACGTATATTCGATTAATCGAATTCAAATAGGTCCATCGTAAATAATTCGAATATTCCAACATTCAAATATCAGTATTCGATGCTACAATACCTAATTTGTTTTATCCGTAATTATAAATTATATGTTAAGCTAATACATTATTATTATTATTAATAATTTGATTATGATGTATTTTGCACAATTTATATTTATTTTTTTTTGCATTTAAATTTGTTTGCCATTTATTTATTTATTATTTTTTTGTTGTAACTTATACATTATTATTAATAATAGTTTAATTATGATATTCGAGTATTTTGCACAATTTTTATTTTTGTATTTTAAATTTTAATTGCCCTGTCAAATAGTAAATATCGCTGGCTTCGATTTTACTTCTCGCAGGCCTCTATGCAATATAAGCCATATAATATTATTATTAAACGTTTTGTGTGGCGCGAAAACTTAAACGAATAATTTTCGTTACGTATTGTATTGTAGCATCGAATACTGATATTCGAATGTTCGAATATTCAAATATTCTAATAATTCCCATCACTATTTCCTTCGAATAAAAGTATTTGTCAAGTTTGTATAAAACGATAATAGAATACAACTTTCCGATGGGAAATAGTATTATTATACGGCTTCCTATTAGTACTAATAACGTACATAAAATATAATTTTATAGTGTTTCCAATCAAATTTTATTTTTAATTAATTCATATCTGAGAAAAGGGAGTACATCTAAGTTTTTATTACTATCTATTCAAGCAAATTAAAGTGTACGTTTTTTGTATATTATCATACTTACGAAAGCTTAAACTAATTATGTGCTGGACAATACTAACAATAAAATATAATATTTATTATTCAAGGTGGTAGTCCGGGAAGATTGAGAAGGGCAGCAAATTCGATCTTAAGTGTCCTTACTATGAGTTCACAGACTTTTCAAAATTGGAAAACAAGTAATTTGAACAGAAAAAATTATTAATTGAATGCGAATTGTATTAAAAACAAATATTTATTATTATTGAACATATTATACTAATATTTATATTGGTTTTTACTTATAATGAAAACATTTCGTTTAAACAACAATTGTAATTATCTGGAATCAATCATGGCATGCCAGGACATACCAGTTTATATTTTTAAATAGGTATCTTAAACCCTAATATATTATTACAGTATAAAAATGTTATGCATTTCAGAAACACCGACAAGCTCAACAGTTGAGGCGTATATTATATAAATAAATAATAAAAAAAATATATATTAAAAATAATATTCAGTGTTGGGAATTGGGATAAGATTAGTACTTTTTTTTATCTAGATAAATCCATTTATATTAAAATAAAAAAAAAGGTAATAATATTTTTCTTAAAGCATTATTAAATCAGACTTTTTAAGGCTAATACTTGAATATGATTTAAACACATATTATAATAAGTTTAAACGTTTGTCGTAATTATTATTGAAAACTTCTGAAAAGTATAAATTAATATTATAATAATATATTCTCTAAATGTCTGAAATCTATTTTAACTTCATTCATTGTTTTGGTTTTGAGCTTGTATTATAATGATGTGTAGGTATTACGATATTTGTTTCCATCAGAACTCGTTATTTGTAATTAGTTTAACTTTATAGTTTAAGTTTAGACAATAGGTCTACATAGATATTTTTAATTATTTATGACATTTACACGTAAACTATACATTAATTATTTTTCTTTCTTAGATGCATTTACAAGAAACTTTAACAAAGGTAAAAACATATTAATATATTATAGTATTATATATACACAATCAAAATGTATCATCAAAATCCGGGTACTTATATTAACTGTATTAATCAGTATTTTATGCAATTTTTTTAATTCGGTTAATGGGATATGAAACTAGTCTACAGTAACATAAATTTTACTGAATTAAAATTTGTTGAACACAATTTTTTCCAATATTTATAGATTTTGAGTATAGTTATTTGAGTATATTGGTTATATAGTGATGTGATTATATTTATTTATTTAATTTTGTGTCTTTTATCAATTGTCACCTATTAGAAAAGTAAAAATGCTCTAATGTTAAAAAATAGTACATGTTTGTGAATGTTTTCAGGTAATAATCTAGGTAGTTGGTACTTTGGGACGTGGATGGAAATTATGCATAAAATTGTGATATGTCAATCTCGAAGCCAACATGTTTAATTATTGTTTATGGCATCAAATTATTGACTTAAGTCGGGAGCCATAAAAGTTTGCACCCTGCTCACTATTTTGTAATTTTATCTTTTGAGTATTTTGATGGCTTAAAATTTTTAAAATTTCATTTAAAATTGTTGATATTTTTTCGATAATCGTTTAAACATAGTTTGTGGTGGGAGGCTACGTGATTTTGAGCCCCCGGAACGTCATTTAGATTTCAAAGCCGAGAAAAAGGCGTTTACAAATTCTGAGACTCAATTTACAATTGCTTGAAATTATTCCGGAGTCGATCGGCTGGAGTTAAGGAGCTATATGAGAGTTAATATAGCCCAGGACTTTTAGATTCTGAGTGGAGTGAAAGAGTGTATTCATTTTACATATTTTTTTTCTATCTGTCATTAATATTTTGGCTAGTAAAATTTCTTCGATTTTCGAGATCAAAATCAGTTTTCATAAAAAAAATGAATATAGTTATACTTCTAGAGGAGGCCAAAATAGAAAATTCCAAGTAGTCTTAAAAAGTGTCAAGAAAAACAAAAAAATATAATTTATCAAAAATTAATAACCGAAAACCCTTGAAATTTTCACCTAATATTTATATTAGTATTTTCCACAAATGGTAACATTTTCTAAATATTTTGACTATTTGTTGAACTAGTTATAGCCCTGAGAAATTGTTCTTAAAACCTTTTTATTTTTATTTATACATTATCTGAAAATTTATAAATGGAAAAATAAAAATTTAAATCTGCTTACAATTTATTGGGTATCGGTCGCACAGGGTAGTTACGTGAACTCAGACTTCATATTTTTGACTTGGTGGGCAAGGCAGCATGTAAACATTTTTCTTCATTTTCTTCGCCTTTTGTTCACAACATCTCTATTGGACTCTACCCTCCCTCCCCCCACCTAGTTTTGTTTCCCTCTCTATTCTGTCTTTCAACGTCTCCTTCAAAATTCTTATCCTTCCCATTCTTTTTACAATAATTTCCACAGCCTCAGCCACTTTCATGTCTGCTCATGGATGACCAAACCGTCTGAACCCATTCACCCCCTCATTTTATCTACAATTTGGCCACTACGTTTTCAAAAATTATGATTTAATTTGTTTACAATCGTTTTTAAAACATTTTTACTGAATCGGGGGGAAGGGACTTCATGTAAATTGATCGTTCTAATTCGTCGTTAATCCTGCTAGTATTCAGAGAATACATACGTTGAGAACATTGCTAGAGAAGTACATTAATCGTCCTGCTATACTCTATGTCTCTATGGACTAGTTTTATGTACCACAAACTGAATAAAAAAATATATGTATTGCGTACAAAGTTAAACAGTGTTCCCTGTTTCCACGATCACATGGTAAATATTAAAATATATATTATATTATACATTATACAAACAAAACACATTATAGTATTATACATTTATACATGCTTAAATTATAAAATATATTTACTTTACATTAAACATTTGTTTTCAGCCATTGGATTTGCACCTATTGTTAAAGAAAGTACGTCTATATTTCTATTTACTCAAAGTTAAAACGTTTGATATGTTTGGTGTAATCACACATATATAAAATAACTAGATACCCGACTCCATATACAACATTATTAAATTATGATGCCCAAAGCCATTTGTCTCTTATTCAATGTTTATAAATTCTAACCGTTTTGATTGCCAATGGGCTTGTTTGATATGAAATTACATATTATCACATTGCCTAAGTTGTAAATGGCTGCCAGCGTCATTAATAAGAAGAAGAAGTCGGGTATCTAGTTATTATATATATATCTGTGGGTGTAACTAATTTATTATTATTTAATGATATCAAATACAATTCTTAATACTAATAATTTATAAGTTGTCTAGATGATATTGATAAACTATTGGATTTAATATCAAACAATGCTGATTTAATTAAAATTGGAGCATTTAGAAAACTTAACAAGCTGTCCGGTGTATGTTTGTATCAATTTTTTATTCAATCGTAATAATTATATATTAAGGATTTGAGATTAGTTATAACCAAAAAAATTAAACTCAAAAAATGTTTATACAATAGGTATATAATATGTTGAATATTTTTAATTTCTAAGCAAAGCTCTTCATGTTAGTATTGGATTTACAAAGGTATGTTTTTTTCTTTATCTTTTTGTGTATGAAGAAAATTTTTTTAGTAGAAAATATGCTTATGTTACATAGTTTAACATGTCTATTATATGACACATACATTGACTATACATACGGACATTGGTTCTTCATACTTTGAGAGCGGTTTCTGAGAGAATTAAATTTAATATCTAATCAGTACTTTTTTTTTTGGGGGGGGGGGTTGGGGGTGAAGAGTAAAAACTTTCTAGTGGGTACTTTTCTAATTAATTGAAAAAGCACAACAATAATATTAGGGAATATAGGGAATTTTTAAGCAATCCTAGTTTTACGACAATGAATAACAGTATAGATTGTACGATTCTTGAATTTTACATCTAATATTTATTTTATATTATAATTTTCTACTCCTGCCTACAAGCTACAATGCTACATGGTATAATTTTCAAAATATTTTGGAATTTTTTGAATTATATACGATACAATATTGTATAAGTTGTTCTAACTATACTTAAAAATTTTGAAAATCTATTTTTTGTATGCGTGTAAAAGATCAATCTTAACGAAATTTGTCAACAATGTGAATGTTTATCAGTTATGTTTTTTTTTTTTTTTAGTTATATCATTTCAAGTGTTAATACTATTGAGACTTGAAAATGTAATACAAATTTATTCTTAATAAGTGTTAACAATATTTACTATTTAAAAAAAAAAATACTTTTAATGAAAACTCTAATCATTACATTATAACTTAAATTGAACATTACACACGATAAAAATTTCAAACTGTTAAGACCTATTTTAAGCTGTTTATAGGTAGTTCAAATTTTTGAATTTTTAAATTGTATTTTTATTTTTTATAAGTTAATTAAGAGGCTATGTTATAAATAGAAGATATACAATTTTAACTTTTTATAAATTTTGGCTACAAATTAGTTTACAAATTTAAGTGATTATGATTAATTTTCTAAACATTTTAATTTTAAAAACTTATTATATGAAGAGACTTAGGTAATGTATCTTTAACCCGTCGCACTACGCATGGCGTAAATAATTACCCCAGACATTTTAAAAATGTTTATAATATATATAATATGGTATTTGGATATCGATGGCTAAGAGGCCAAAAGTTGTATGTCCAATTTTTCTCAAAATTGTTTTATTAGTTCATAGGGTTTATCTGGGTCGACTTTTTGATTCGGTAAAACATTATAAGTCAATATCATGATTAAAACATGTTTTATTTATACTTTAATTTTTGTGTTTTCAGTGCAAGATATGTTTTTTTAGTGCACACATATAACAAGTCCTAATTTAATGAGACATACGATAAATATTTTAACATGATCTAAATACTAAGCGGACAAATATAACAAGTCCGGACTTGTTACTTTGTCCAAAACAATTTATTGAATTTTGGACGTGTAATGTTTTAGATAATATTGAATTTGTTTATCTATTTATAAAAAAATAATATGTCCGGAAGTATTATTTTAAATAATACAAATTTTTAATTTTAAATTACACTAAATAATATGATATCTTCACTTAGCATAAAATATCATTAAACACTGGTTTTATTTGACTAAAAATTTGATGAAAAATGCTACTTTATTATTTTTCACATTCAATAAAAAATTCCAATATTTTTATATTTTTTACTTTTTTACTGCAATTTTATAAACAAATTGAATTTTTTTTATTAAAAAAATAAGTCTTACGTACATTTTAACTATTTATGTAATAAATTAATTAGAGTTTATATTAAATTAACAACTTTTAATATGTCCATCAAAACCTTATATGTCAACGGTAAAAATATATTATAATTGCCATTCATAACAAGTCCCATTTAAATTTAAAAGAAACATTATAATTACGTTTGAAAAAATTTTAAGACCTAAAAGTAATAATTTATGTGATCTACAGAATATTTTACAAATAAATCAGTTGCAACACCTAAAAACAAAAATCTACAACGCAAATTATTTGGTGTAGAATAATTTAAAATCTTAAAACTGCTCTCCCGAAAAATTTAGTGTTTGGGACATACAACTTTTGGCCTCTTAGCCATCGATATTTGATAACCTGAATAGCCTCAAATATTACAATTATACGAAATATTGTTAAAAAAAAAAACTAAAAACAAATTTTTTTTATATTATCTCTGTATAATGTAAACTCTCTTTGTATATTTCCTAGGGGTAAATGTTTACCCCATGCGCTTAAATGAAACATCTAAATCCGGGCGCCGTACCACGGGTTAATATTTTTGAACTTCTATATTATAACAACTTATGAGGAAATTTGTATTAAGTCTTTAAGCCTGTTTGACACAGCGACATATTTATTTATAGATATTTACTGTAATAAAAAACTTAATTTAATAAAAAATGCGATAAAAAAACCCAAAAGGTGTCAAAATATTTTTTAAATTTTACAATGTATAGAAAAAGTAACTATAAATATTTGGTAAAAATTTCGAGTATCAGTGGTTATTCGTTTTCGAATTATTTACAACAAAATGATAAAATCATTTCACGAGAAATAATTAGTTTACAGGTGAACATAAAATGTAAAAAAAAACACATCATTAATTTTGTTTATCTGTTTAGAGTGATACAACTGAGGAGTTTAAAAAAAAATTAATTCTTGCAAAACTTCAAGGTACCATTGAATTGGTAAAATATTATGGTACTACATGGAATTGTCCTAAATCAAAATGGACACTTGCACAAGGTAAGTTCATAAACTTTAACTTTTTTACTAAAACGCCAATTGCTGTACAGCTCTTGATTTTGTATTTTATCTGAATTATTATTTATTTATTGAGCTATAGAAACTTTGAGGCTTAACTCTTTATGATAGTGCCAATGCGATTAATTGAGGAATTTTGTTTGCACAGTGTAAAATTAATTTTTTTTTCATTTATTAAAATTAATTGCTTCAATACACTTAGTATTATTACAATGTAGCTTAAATTAACATAATGTATATATTTAATATAAATATTAGCTATTAGCTTATCTAACTATCTTATATGTGATTTAATGTATAGGTTTAATCGGGAATCCGAACAAATGTAATGATGGGGAAATAATGCCTTTGGTAATGAGATTATTTAGTACTGTGGAGAGTAAGGAGATAAAAGGATTGATTAATGAGCTTAAATTAGATATAAACCTGGAACAGGTGTTGGTGAATTTTTCTGTATGTGAGTTTTGTTGCTGTTTGGTGGCTTCTGCGTAAAATTAATTTAAAAACACTGAATATAATTTTACAACGATATGTGTTTTTTTTGTGCGTCTGTCGTCAGTTTTTGGGACACTATAAAAATTCTTCAATTTTCTTCAGAATCTTTCCTGGTAGGAAAGTGAATCTAGTTGGAAGGTCAAAAGTAAAAAATTCCCAATAGCTTTCAAAATTGAAGATTGACCGAAAAACAAAACAAAAATCAAAGAAAAACGGAGATTTTGTTTTTTAGTGGAACTCTAAAAAAAAAAATAACCTTCGATACGTCATGTTATTTTTACTGAATGTTTATATTAACAATTTCGATAAACCAATTTGATAAATATAAAAATATTGAGTTTTATTAGTTTTTTTAATTGTCGTTGAGTCAAAAAACTTGAAAATGTAATAAAACGTTCCTCATAAGTTTTCCTTAGTGTAAATTATAAAAAGTTGAGCGTAAATCTGAAATAATTGTTATGAGCATATCTGAAGTTAACATTTAAACAAAATTCACCAAAATCACGAAAATTAGTAAAAAAGAGTATAGAGTACCTATAATATTATTATATTTTATACATACGGTGACATTTTCATATTTAATTTTTTTTGACAGAAATTAATTTTAGTTTTTCTAATGCCTAATAGTAAAATAAATTACTTTAATAAAATTACAATATACGTATATAATATCATACAATTGACTTAAGTAATATTAAAGGCTATTATGGACAATCATCGCTCAGAATCATTTTTCGTATATAATAATAATTATTAAATTAAAATAGAACACATATATTAAATGTTGCAATACTTAAACTATTTTAACCACTTTTAGGAATGTACTATGCACACAGCTGTGTAAAATTATTTGGAGAAGATAAACAGGGCGAATGCCTCAGAAAGAAAATTCAGTTGTTCGCCGCATTCATGTTCTCTTATAAGTTAGAAATCAATCGATTTACAAGATTTTTTTTGAAAAGAATGAATACTCAAGCTGATAAATACCTTCCGGATGATAAAGCGATAAAATTTATCAATACGAAAATGGCTTGCGAAGTAAATAATAACCATAAAACTAATTATATCAAATTATGAAATATTATTCTTTTTGGACTATAAACTATTATACCAACGATACCAATTTTTAACGACAACTATTGTAGTATTGTACCTCTTTATGTATTACAGGCAGGGGCGGAGTGGGAACCAAATCCAGGCCGGGAGTTTAAAATTTATCCAGGCTACCCACCAAAGTTTTTTTTATCTCTAAGCTCGAATTTGATTTTTCTATTTACCTATTTCAAAATTACTTTCAGTATTATAAAAGTATTTCAATCACTATCTTGCTATTTTTTTAACTTCTGCCTTCTAACACATTATATTAATATACCACTACAGCACTACAAGGTACAGATAAACAACTTACAGGTTTCAATAGGCGGAAATGCGTCGAATCAGTAATTTATAATTTCTTAGTAGGTAATTAGTTCTGTTGGATTGCACCGAGACCACACACTATCTGGGTGTTTTATTATAAAAATAACCGACCTATATCAATATTATATTGCTTTGATTTTATTTGGTGTCTATATTTATGTACCAAATATTTTGTAATTTTATATCCAAAGCTTTCTCATAAGAGTATACGATTGTACGAGGCTATTACAATGTGCTATTATTGCATTAATAAATTTTTTAATTATTGCATTTGTAACACAATAATTTAATGGAAACAAATGTTTGAAGCATTTAGCATTAACTAATATTTTGTAAATTAAATTAAAAAAAAAAAATCTAACAAAATGGCCAGGCCACCAGGTCATAGTATGGTCCAGGCCATCTGGAAAATTCCCATTTCCAGACCGACCACTCTGCCCCTGATTAAAGGTATTTCTATTATTGTGTTATCGTATTACCTGTTAGTCTTAACATGTGTCATGATAATATTACACTGTCATAAGTTATTGTTATATGTTTGGGCGAATTACCTTTTTAGTTTTTACCCACATATAAAAAGTAATGTGTTTGAGAGAGTATGATACAGTATAAAAGTTAAATTTTAATTTTGTAAAGATTATGATAAAAATATTATATAAAATCTATAGGGATTATATATCAATTTAAATATGGCACATAATTTCAATTTTTAATTACACACACTTATATTTCACTTACATATTCGTTTAATTTTAATAATATTTTAACTTGATTTTTAATTATTTCAATCGTTTTTTCACACACACACAAAAAAGAATACAATCCAGTACCACTTTAAATCATACCCGTGGAATTCATGGACATTTCCGAGTCTGTAAAAATGAGAAGGAAAATGGATTGACAAAATACAGATCCCAGGGGCCAGGATATTAAAAAAAAGTGGCCCAAACCCAAACCACTCCAAAATATTACATTAAAGTTATTATTACCCCAGTCTTATTCAATAAACTTGAACTCCATTCCCCTCATAGTAAAATAATAATATATTGGTTTGACATTTGGTATACTCCGTACTTGAACTCAGTTTTTTAAAAATAAAATTTACCTAATCAGTAAACTCTAAATTACAACAGCTCCACCCACTTCTTCGATCCAAGATATCCACCAGGAAAAAAAAAATTATTTTATAAAGAAATTATCAGACAGGTGCGGGTTTCTACGGAATCCAGATATAGATTTCTGCACTGCCAAGAGTCCAACTTAAGAACAGTACTGGTCTTTCAATCACTTTGCCTACGTAAAATTGTCTCTGCCCATTAGATCATCAAAAATAATGATCTCTCCACTATGAACGCTTATAAGAGTAGAGGTACTCAATTAAGCAAATCATAATTCCCTTCACTTCATTCTAAGTGTACCCACCATCAAAACAAACTTATTAATCGCCTATCGTTCCGTACAATTAATGATAAGTGATAACCTTCAGTGACGCCTTAAACGCTCAAATGATTACACGGTAACATACACAATTTTATATATTTACGCAACTAGTATACTAACTCAGGAGAGTACAGGATATCGACTCTGAGGTTCTTAGTCGTCGTCTTCGATATAGCTTGATCACTAACAGACGTCGTTTTTGTAGATCACAATTAATATGAACAATAAACGATATGAAATTTTTATTTTATAAAAACAAATTACTCTCCATTCAATGTTATTTCTATTATATTACATATTATTATGTTTTTAGTTTTATTTTAAGATGATTGTTGTTTTTCCAGAAAAAATTTATGCAAGATAATAAAAACATTTTTATTAAAACAGCAATGAAACTGTACATGGGTTCTTCTAATAAGGATAAGAATTATAATTGTGTTAGTGAATTATTGCAATTTGAAAATGATGAAAAGGAAATTGATTCATACCCTGGTGAAATTCAATATTTAATAGCCAAAGCATATGGCTACCAAAATAATTATAAATTGGCTTTAGAACATCTTTGTAAGGCACGTAAAGCAGAAGTTGTAGACGCAAAGGTAATATTATATTATTCAAAAATAATGAACCATAATATCACGGACTCTAAAGTCCCGGACTATAAATTACCTGACCGGTAAAATCCCGAAAGCCAAAACCTAACGTCCTAACCCAACCTAAGGACCATACAATTATTGTCCGAAATACCCTGTGAATTGTATTTGCATAAGTTTTGTATTTATTTATTGTTTTCTTTATCTTCTTGTTGTACTTAAAATATTATAGGTATAGTATAACTATATAGTATACTAATATAAGTTTATTTTTTTTATTGACAGACTCGTGAAACCAATAAAAAAGTACAAACTTATTATGAAAAAATATACACTCGTATGAATGCCAAATAGAAAATTGTAAAATATTACGGATACAACTCCAATACTTATTTTAGTTTTGTTTGTATTAAAAAAAAAAACACAGGTTTAAAATACAATTATTTATTACTTTTTATGTATTTCAATAAAGTCCTTTAAAATTAAATTTATTTAACTAGTTTTTATTTCTTAAAATTAACCTAACCTATATACTTGATACAATTTTCCAAAATTTTTTGACGGTTTTCGCGCTGTTTACGGACATTTAAAATTTAAAATTTTTTTAGTTTTTTTTTTTCTATAAAATATTATATATTATACATATTAAAATATTATATATATATATATATATATTAATATATAACTTGTAAAAAATTAATACATGGCTCTTGATATATTATATTGTTACAATAGTAGTTGAAAAATATTAAAAATACATAATATGCATTTTTTTTTTACAAGTTGTTATTTTTTTGTTGCTATGTTTTTTGAAAGTCACGTTCCGTAACCTTCAAAAAATCTTTGGACCCACTTCTGATTTCAATGCTATAATATAAGGTTTTAATAATAGGCACACTGATACGTGGTTCAACAAGTACCTGCGGAAATACAGTTACGAAGGTAAGTAAGGAGGATGGTAATGGTGGGTGGAAAGTTTTTCCGGTTTATTAATTACGAGATTGACTACCTACATCGAGCTTATTACTTCGATATGTTGACGTATTATTATTTTCTACTCATCTGCAGGTCGATGGACTATCATGTCGATATGTGTCATACCACAATATAAACTGCAGAATAAAACCTATACCTACCGTGTATATTAATTTTAAACACAGCGTTTTACAAGCATTTATGTTATTATATTTATTATATTATATTATTTAATATTTATTACATTCAATATTATATTATTGTAACTGAATTATTTTAATTATTTTGTGTTCCTGTACGGCACATTTCGACCACAACGGCAAAAATCTTTCACAATTGATTCCATTAATATTATAACCCACCGCATCCTTTACAGTGTATATGCACTGCGAATATTTTTGTTCGTCTTAGTGGCATCGCAGTACTTGATTTGTACAGGAATATAACAATAATAATACATAGCGCAAAGAAGACAGGAAATCGTCAGTAGTTGTTGTCGATGTCGACAACAATATAATATTATATATATAAATAATGGTACCTACACGTATCTACCTTAAGGACTAATCGCCAAACTACTACTGGTATTACACTGCGTGTGCGGGTGTGGTCGGCTTCTTTACCTACCTATACACATTTACCCTTCCCGGTCAGCGGGTCTTAATAGAAATAATATTTTGTACCTCAATTCACGTCCAAATAAAGGTCAAATTTATACTACCGCGCCCGGCTATTCATTGGAGTACACACAGCACACAGACACATTTATATATTATTATTTAGACGAATCACATTATAACTATCACAAAAAAAGTAGTTATACAGTACTGTTGAATTTGGGTTCTATTGACTTATTGTATGTGTTTATTTTTTTTTTGTGGAATTTGCAATACACTACCATTATTATTGTTAAATATTATATTTCCTCGCTAAATGGTCAATACAAAATAACAAATGTCTATTTTACCTTTAAGACCATAAAAAATTGTCCTATTAAATATACAATTAATAATATACAAACTTGCGACCAGAATCAATAGTCTATACTCTATACATATGTATAAAACAATTGAAATTTGGTACAAAGACAGATTCCTTAAGTATAACAAAATAATTCAAGAATTTGAAAATATGGTCTTTGAGTATATTTAAAAATTCCAAAAGTTAGAATTTGAATAAATTCATTATTAAAAGATATAATCGGGGAGAACGTGCTTTGTTCATCAGTAATTACTCATTACCCTATATATGTATATTTGTATTTTTAATTTCCGTTATACCTATAACTATACCTCAAATAAAATAATTGTTTTAAGCTAATACTGTGCTATGGTTTACTTGTCGTTCGTATCCTAATGTTTTACATATATTACCTACATTATATTTTAGTATTGTCAATTTCAATTTTGGTCATTCCTACCTCGAAATATTAATTATACTTACCTAATATTTTGTTCATTGCTTACTTGTTGATGATGTTTTTCATAAAATGTAATGGATGTTATTCTGTAGTTCAACAATACATAAAATGTATTATAATATAATTAAAAAAGGAAATCGACCATTAAATTAACGGAATTGTAACCGACAATTTAGAGTTTAGACATACTTTAAAGTTAAAGTTTAAGTAGATCTGGCAAACACTTTAACCATAGGCGCAACTAAGGTAAAAATTCTGGGGGGGCTATAGCCCCGAACAAATTTCTTTGTTTCCGTTAGAAATGTTATATTATATTACCCATTTAGTTATAATCAATAAATAAATTCAAATAATTGTTATAATAATTCTTATATTAGCATTCTACATTCGTCGGTTTTTTATTTTATTATATTTTTCCAGTATGTCATAATTATTGATATTATTGGACATATATCTCTCAATATTTAAAATGGCTAAATTTGAAAATCTATCTTGCTCCATTGATGTTCTCCACCAATTTTTTACGCGTCTCATACATGAGAAGGGTCGTTCACATGTTGCCGAATTATCGGTATGGTTAGAGCTACTTGAAACAGCTTGTATATGTTTGGAAATGTATTCTTCTTCACAATTTCTTTGATGGTGTCTAATTCAAAATCATTATTTAAATTAAATGCACAATTTTTAGCAACGAGCATCTCCGCCTTTAAATCATCTTGTTTGACATTTAAAATTGACTAAAAGCCATAAAATGTTCAATTAATATGAATTTGTATGTATTAAAAAAAATATTTTTAAGTTTTCACAATTTTCCTGATATTGATTAATAAAATATTCACTGTTTTTTAAATCCATTTTGAGTAAACTCTCTAACGAAGTGGCTAATAATAAGCTTTCGGTTGAAAATCTGCTTTTAAGATTAATAATTAATGTGTCGATAATTCTGTAGTAAGCCACTCTTCGCCAGTATACTCTTCTTCTGTTTCGATGTTACACTCTCCTTCATTTTCTTCTCCAGTTTTCTCTAACACCACAAAGTTCTCATATCTATTTGGCTGTTTTCTTGTACGTTTAAATTGAAGTCACATGAAAAAAAAACTGGGGGGGGCTATTTGGCAAACTGGGGGGACTTAGCCCCCTTTAGCCCCCCTCTAGTTGCGCCTATGACTTTAACCCCATATCGAAGCTATTTACTGGTGCAGTCCTGCCGTTGACGGCTATGGTAATATACAAAGGTGGGCATTAACTAGTTGAAAAGTTAAAGTTCAGTTAAAAAGTTAATTTTTTTTTAACTTTTTAACTTAACTAGTTAGTTTATTTTCTAATCAACTTATGAACATAAATAGTTTAATTTACAATTGAAATAACTTAGCTTTTCTCAGTTGATTTAAAAAAATCCATTAAGTTAAAACATTTTGAAATTGTTCGTTTATACTTAAATATTACGAATTTCGAACGCTCATAAAAATTTAATTTGACTTTCTTATAGACATTTTTTTTTTTATAAAGGTAGATAATCTTATAAGGAATCATGTATTACATTTTTTAAAACTTAAAAAATATGGAAAATGAAAATGTTCCTTACCAGTTCAAATCAAATCATAATATTTTGAAAATGTTATCGTGTATACAAAATGCAAATATAAACAACCCGTGAAAATTTCATGTATATACGTTCATTTCTTTTAGAGTTACACCAAAAATCAAAATCGATTTTTTGGAAAACCGATTTTGAGTAAAAATTCCCGTTTTTCCTTAATTTTTATGTTCTTTTTCCCGGTGCTTGTGAAAACTACTAGGACATTTTTACTTTTGACACCCTCAAAGTACCAACTAGATTCCCTTTCCTATCAGAAAAGATACTGTTGAAGAAAATCCAAGCACTTTTACTGTCCTAAAACGTGATGACAAACACAAAAATAAAAAAAAAAACACATATCATTGTAAAATCAATACATTCATCGTTTCACTCAGAATATTAATAGATTAACTTTTTTTAAACTGAGTTAAGTCAATATTTTTTTCTATATGAACTTTTAACTTATCGAGTTAAATTTATAATTTGTTAACTGCTAACTTTTAACTAATCGATCTTGTGTCCTCTTAACTTAATTTTACTTGAGTTAATTATTTTCATTAACTTGCCCACCTTTGGTAATATATAGTAAGTCTTCATGACTAATCAGGATTGACACAATAATAATTACGTCATAATCCTCACTGAGGTGTACCTAAATTGCCGATTCAACACGCCGTGTGACTAATCTTAAGATTCTGACCGGAGCAATGGTTTTCTGGTTTTTCACTTGTGATACAGAAAAAAACAAAAAATTGAATGTTTTTTATAATTTTTATACTTTGAAAATTAATCTCTACGTTTTTTTTCAAATAAACACCATCTCATAATTGGTATATAGATGGATATATTATGTGCTCATTGGCCATTGCTAAGAAAAAGGTTCATGTTCGACTTGCAGGTATCATTTCATTTAAATAAATAAATAATATTGACAATTTTAAAATTTGTCGATATATTATTATCTTAATTAAAGAGCATCTCGTTTACAAAAATAGAGAATTTTATTGTCTTTTAATATCAATATATGGTTCAATAATAATATTATACTGATTGATTAAGTGTTGTTTCTTTATAATTGTGTTGAAAAAATTTGAATAAAAATTACATTATATTATTTAAAGAAAAAAAATCATTATTAAAATGTTAACCTTAAATAAAAAAATTAAATGTAAAATTAAAATTTGACTCGTGTTGTGTTCTGAGTAATTGTACTCGTAAAATATGATGTAAAACTGTGAATTTTCCATGACGAATATTATAGAACTCCGATTTGTAACTGTCTCCGTTAATTTTGCTATACATAGGTATAGAATAATTGAAAACGGCCATAGTTTTTAAATAGGCCAATTATTACAAACTGTGCGCATACCTACCGATATAATACACCTATTTTATAAATGCTTTTTGTTTTCCTATTTTTAGTTGTTTACCATTAAATATTCATAATACAACGTATAGGAACATAGTGTACCTTTGAGTTTATAGTACTATTTGACAATTAATAAATGTGAGGTTTGCGTTTTCAGTGCTAACAAATCACTCGTGATTCTAAATATATTATTTTTAAATCATTATTACCCTTTAAAAACCATGAAAGTCAAACGAAACTTTACTAGTGGTGTTTTATTAATAATTGCCACTTCAATTATGATAACTACCGATTGTGTTAATAAAAGAGGTAAGTAATATAAGAATAACCGATTTACATATACATTGTTTTTTTATTCATGGAAATCAGATTAATAACAGTGTAAATAAAATGTTACATGCAAAAATGTATGGTTAATTTAACCCATTAACCATGGCTTATGGTGGGGTAAATTAATTACAACAGACGTTAAAAAATACAAAACTTAAAATCAAATATAATAATAATAATTTCTATAAAAAGTGAACTTTCGAACTATGACTATATATAATTGATACTACTGATATAATTTTTTTCCTTCAATTCTTTCACAACAAAAATTTATTGAATAATGATTATTGATTTATACAATTTATTGAATGCAGTTATTTTACTTCCGTCGTATAAAAATATTTTTCGAGTTTGTACCAAACGATAGTAGAGTACAACTTTCCGATGGGAAATGGTATTATTATATACGGCTATAGTTTTTAACGATAATATTATATATATATTTGAACAATTTTATTACTTTGATTATAAATAATTCTTACTTAGCTAGTACCAAAAACGTAAACTGTAATTAAAATATAACTTTATAATGCTTTCAACCAAATTTGATTTTTATTTAATTCAAGTCTGAGAAGTCTGATTTTTTTTTTACATTTTCATACTTACGGAAACTTAAACTAATTATGTGCTGGATAATACTAATAATAAAATACAATATTTATGATTCAAGGTGGTGGTCCGAGCAGATCTAGAAGGGCAAAAAATTCGATCGTGAGTGTCCTTACTATGAGTCCAAAGACTTTTCTAAATTGGAGAATAAGTAATTTGGGCAGTAAAAATTATTAATTAAATGCGAAATGTATTAAAAACAATTATTTATAATTATTTAACATAATATTATACTAATATTTATAGGTTTTCACTTATAAAGAAAACATATAGTTTAAACAACAATTGTAATTATCTGGAATCAATCATGACATGCCAGCTTATATTTTAGATTCTGAGTGAAACGATGAATGTATTGATTTTACAATGATGTGTGTTTTTTTATTTTTTAATTTTTTTTGTATCTGTGTACACGATAAGTAGTCGAAATAATGCTTCGATTTTCGACTTCAGTATCTTGTTCGATTGGAAAGTGAATATCGTTGGTGCATTGGGGAGGTCAAAATTTAAATTTCCCAGTAGTTTTCAAGAGCGCCGGGAAAAACAACATAAAAATTAAGGAAAAACAGGAATTTTTACGCAAAATCGGTTTTCCAAAAAATCGATTCTGGTTTTTGGTGTAACTTTAAAACAAATGACCGTAGATACATGAAATTTTCACTGGTTGTTTATATTTGCATTTTCTATACACGATAACATTTTCAAAATATTTTGATTTATTTTGAACTGTTTAGGGACATTTTCATTTTCCATTTTTTTTTAGTTTTTTTTCTAAAAATATCAATAAAATTTTATTTGTTGGTTGCGAAAGCTTGAAAATTTAATAGAAGGCTCCTAATATGTTGTTTCAAAGGCAGATGAAAAATATTAAAAATCCTTAGTCACAATTTTTTTTATAAGCATTTAAAGTTCAAAAATTGACAAAATATGGAAAAATCACGAAAATTAGCAAATTATTTTGAGTTAAGAATTCGTAAAAATTTTTCTTTTTAAATCTAAGATTTGAAAATCTAATACTAGATTACTCATAAGATTGTCTACCTTTATCAATAAAAAAATTTCTACCAGAAAGTCAAATTAAATTTTTATGAGCGTTTGAAATTCAAATTTTTACAACATTGGATATTCACTCGATTTCTCATGTGGCAATTTCCTTTTTTTGTTGTAATTAAAAAACGAACTACTGTAGATACATGAAAATTTCACTGAATGTTTATATTAGCATTTCCTATACACCCTACAATTTTGAAAATATTTTGACACTTTTTGAGCCGTTTACGGACATTTTCAGTTTTCAATTTTTTTAGTTTTTTTTTCTATAAATATCAATTAAGTTTTATCTGTTGGGCCAAAAAGTGTAAAAATTTAATACAAGGCTCCTGATATATTGTTACAATATCAATTGAAAAATATTAAAAATACATAGGCACAATTTTTTTTTATAAGCATTTTAACATCGAATTTTGATAGAATTTTTCAAAATCTTGAAAATTATTAATCATCGTAATTAATAAATTATAAAATGTTCAGTTTTTATAGCTAAGGATTGAAAATTTAAAACAAGATTCCACGTAAGTAGTTAATTCTCTTACCGAAAAATCTAAAAAATATACAATCACAGTTTATTTTTATAGTCATTTTATGTTCAAATTTGGACGAAATTACATATTAAAAAACCTAGTTATTTTGTTGTGATTATATAATATTATTCGTGGGTACCTACTTGAAACTTCTAAAGTGTACTATTATATATATATGATAGTATCAGGGTTTGTTGTTGGTGTATAACGTGTTATAAGTACCTAATGGATATTGTGATATGATTAATTTGGAATTTATTTTAGGTCAATTTTTTTTTTAATACCATAGATATGTATATAATTTGTCTTAAACCTAGACTAACATACCGTCTTCGCTCAGAATCGTTTTTCTTATACAATGATATTGTATCATTGAATTCAAATTTAAAAGCATCCATTATACAGTGACCCACTTGTAACCTACTGTACAGCAGAGCGACATCCACTTACCCACCTTTTTAAATATGTACCTTGAACAATAATATATTAGTATAGTATTAAATAGTATATTGTGTGCAAGGGTGGGAAGGATATAAGGTATATAACAATACTTAACAATCATATTTTTTAAATAGTCCAGTATACATATTTTATCAATCAAAAATATCTAGTTTTCGGTTTATTTATCATTTATGTTTAAAATGATGTGAAATTCAAAATTATAGAAATTATATTTTCTAATATTGAGCATACCTACATATAGTTACCTAACAAGAAAATTGAATTAGTTTATGTTTGAATTTAACTTCATTCATTATATTAGTTTTTACTTTTGAGCTTGTATAATAATGATGTGTAGGTATTGCGGTATTTGTTTTCATCGGAAATGTAAGTTTATACAATAGGTGTAAAATGTACATAGATATTTTTTATTATTTATGAAATATACACGAAAATATAACATTCATTATACATTCATTGCATTCATTATTTTTCTTTCTTAGATTCATTTGCTATAAACTTTTACAAAGGTAAAAACATATATTAATATAATATTATAATATTACACACAGTGGTGTAGCCAGAGTGGTCTGGGTGTTTAACCCCCCCCCCCCCCCCCACACACACACACACACATTGAAATTTTTTCATTAAATATTTGTTTTCAGCTATTGGGATGGCACCTATTGTTAAAGAAAGTACGTCTATATTTTTATTTACTCTAAGTTAAAAAGTATAATATATGTGGTGATAACTATTTTATTATTCTTTCATATTTTCATTAGGTCAAAAAAATTCTTGATACTAATAATTTATAAGCTGTCTAGGTAATGTTGATGAACTATTGAAGTTAATAGCAAACGAGGTCGATTTAATTAAAATTGGGTCATTTGGAAAACTTATCATGCTGACCGGTGTAAGTTTGTATACTTTTTCTTTTTTTAACTGTAAACATAATATGTAAAAAACTTGGACCCTGCTGTTCATTAGGTGTCGATAAGGGTCACTGTAAAGTGTAAATTTCAAGTATATATTGTTATTCGTTTTAAGTATAAACTAAGTTTGTGAAAATTATGATAAAATATTAAATCTAAATATGGCATATCATTTCAATTTTTAATCACACACACTTATTTCACTTACATATTTTTTTAATTTTAATAATATTTTAACTTGATTTTTAATTATTTCAATCGTTTTTCACACACACACTCGTATTCAATATGAAAGAAAAACTATTTTAAATAAAATAATGTACATGACTTATGAGTTACATTCAGTCATCGCCAAAGAGCAATTTTATAGACCGTGAAGATTGCGTTTTTTTGTCATAATATATAACTTGTAAATAGATATATTCAACTCAATTTAAGATAAAAATATAAATGTTATAGTTTCGATATTATGTTTCCAAAAATACTAAGTAGGTTTTTAAATATTTTAAAAATTGACATTTTTGTTTTCAAGTTGTTATTTTTTTGTTGTTTTTTGAAAGTCGCGTTTCGTAACCATAAACAAATCCTTGGACCCACCCCCGATCGCAATGCTATAATAATATATTGTGTTTTAATAATAGGCACAGTACACACTGATACGCGGTTCAACAAGTGCCTGCGACAATACATTTACAAGGGTAAGGGTGTGTCGCGAGTAGTTTTGGTTTATGAATTACAAGATGGTATATTGACTACCCATATTTAGTTTATGTTGACGTATTGTTATTTTCTACTCTTCTGCTGGTCAGTGGACTATCAAGTCGATATGCGTCGTACCAATATTAACTGATGAGTAAAACTTTTATCCACCAATATTATATTAATTTTAAACACTGCATTCTAATCGCCGGTCCAAAATTATAATATTTATTATTTACATATATTATATTGTACCTATTCAATGTTATATTATTATTATTGTAACTGAATTTTTTTTAAAACTATTTTGTGTACCATATTGACGGACGTACGGCACATTTCGACCACAACTGCTGCGGGCAAAAACCTTTCACAATTGATTCCATTAATATTATAACGCACCGCTTCCTTTATAGTTTATAATATGCTCTGCGGACTGCGAATATTTTGGTTCGGCTTAGTGGCATCGCAGCATTTGGTCCGTACATGTATACAACAATAATATATAGCGCGAAGAAGGCAGGAAATCCTTAGTCGTTGTCGGTGTCGACAAAAATATAATAAATATATATATATATAAATAATGGTACCTACACGTATCTACCTTAAGGACTAATCGCCAAACTACTACTGGTATTACACTGCGTGTGCGGGTGTGGTCGGCTTCTTTACCTACCTATATACCTTTACCCTTCCCGGTCAGTGGATCTTAATAGAAATAATTTTTTGTACCTCAATACACGTCAGATAAAGGTCAAATTTTACTACCGCGCCCGGCTATTCATTGGGAGTATATATAATAGCGTATATATACAGTATACTCACACACACGCACACACACATATTATATAGACGAGACACATTATAACTATCACAATAAAGTATAAACGAAGCTACACACTGCAATTGAATTTATATTCTATTGACTTGTATGTGCTTATTTTTATTTTTTGAATTTGCAGTACACCACCATCGTTATTTTTAAATACTTTTCTTCGCTAAATTGACAATAAAAAATAACAATACAGATCGCTATTTAGATCTATGACTATTTTACCGAAAAGACCATAAGAAATTGTCCTATTAAGAGTACAATTAATAATAAACAGTCTCAGAAAAAATATTTTTTTTAATTCATAGTATAATAATGTCGACGTATACTTACACTTATTGGTTTCGAAAATTCAAAACGGAATGAATATTTTTCGTTTAGTTAAATCAGCACAGAGATGTAAAAATAAAATAAAATAAAATTTTATTTGACATTTCTGAGCTCTGAGGTTGATAATTTACTAGGTACTGAGTAAGTTCGGGGTAGACAAATTGTGTCCCCAAAAAAAGTCATAGCAATAACTCATAAATTATGAAAATTGCAGCCCGTTACTTTGAAATTATACGTAAATTGCGTCCTGGGTATATTTGAAATGTATATAAATAATAAATATTGCGTCCTGGGATATTCCAATTTCCGGTCGACTTATTCAGTTCATCACATCCAAACATATTAAATTTCATTGACATG